CATTCGTGTCACCAATCCCAGATCCACAAGCTTGGGAAACGGACGCTCTAAGTATATCATGGGAAGGCCTCAACGCGTACGCGTTTCCGCCGCCAGCAATAATACCCCAAGTATTACAGAAAATCAAACAAACACAGAGTCTACAACTCACTTTGGTCGAGCCCTACTGGCCAGGCAGAGTATGGTTTCCCATTCTAATTCAAGAAATCGGTCAACCAGTATTAGAGCTACCCAAGCGCTCAAACCTGTTAATACATCCACACACGAAACAGGTGCACGGAAACCCAGAAGTTTACCAACTTCACGTATGGACTGTATACAAATGTGTTTAAACAAGAGAGGATATTCTACCAGGGCGGCAAAAGCGGTCACGCTACGACGACTTCGACTTCACTGGCAACTTATGCACGACGACAAGTGGCACAGTTTCGAAAATTATGCAGCTAATAAAGGATTTACAGCCAGAGATGCTTCACATCCTCAAGTGGCAGACTATTTGTGTTACCTGCGGCAAAACAAACATTTAAGAGGTTCGACGATATCAACATATCTTGCCGCGCTTAGCTCTGTGATCACTATGAGAACGGGTGTCAAGCTGACAAAATCTCCAGAGTTACTGGCCTTACTACGTGCTTTCCGATTGGAGGACCAAAAGCGGAAGTTCCACGTCCCAGCTTGGGATCTGAATATAGTGTTACAACACCTCACTAGTGAGGCCTATGAACCTTTGGAATCGACAAACTTTGAATTTCTCTCACAGAAAACACTATTTCTACTATCTCTAGCCACGGCAGCAAGAATATCTGAAATTCACGCTCTGGATTACGAGAGGATACAGTTTGATGACAATCAAAACATAGCGCACCTGGGATTAAGATGGGATTTCATCGCCAAAAATCAACTACCAGGTCAACCAGACAGGTTATTCCATGTACCAGCGCTATCCTCGATTCTCGGATCACAAGATACACTGGACTTATCTCTATGCCCAGTCAGAGCTCTCAAAATCTATTTACGACGTTCCAAGGCGAAGATTTCTCAAACGATTATTCATCCCCTTGTCGCCAACGAATCAAACAGAAGTCTCGCGTACTACCATATCTATTTGGATAAGGACTGTCATACTTCGCGCCTACATGCAGGCAAATCCGCATGAGATTAGGGCACTGGCTTCCACCCTCTCCCTGCACGGTAACTGTTCTTTGAACACTATTATGGAAGGATGCTTTTGGAAATCGAACATTGTGTTTGCGAATCACTACCTGAGAGACATCACCACAGAAGATGTCTCTGGCATTCACCATTTCGGCCCTTTGGTCCTCGCTCAACAGCTGACAGTCCCTCGTAGGCGTTAAATATTATCATCACAAGTTTAATATGTATTATATACATAATTTAGCTAGCTTATAACTCTAAGGAGTTCTAGAGCTATGTATATATTTACCTTAGGTTATTCACCCCTAAGTATATATTGACATTATGTTTAGTTGTACAGCAACTCTATCAGAGTCACTTATATATATATAATATATATAATGGTTTTTCAGTATATATCAATGTAATACCCACTTATGGCATTATATAACCTATGGTTTATATACAGGAAATATCCTAAGTCAATGCCTTCATGAAGTTCCCATACCGGTTATTACAGTTATATTTATACAAAATCACTAATTATAAATCCAAAGTATTCTATTACTCCCTCCTCCGTTCCGTAGGATTCTACAAGCAAAAGAGCATGAGTCAGGATAAGGAAAAATATGTAATTTTTAGAGTAAAATTGATATTTTATACTTATCCTGACTCATGAGGTCAGCCCTCCCATCCTCCCCACATAACACTTTGGATTTCCCCGTAAATTCAAGTGTTGGGCTCGCAAAATCAGGAGAGAGTGAAGCACGAGGTGTAGGGTGGCGACACCTTTCCCGCCAAAAGGGATTAAAGGGGAGCAACTCGTGGTGAGTACTAATTAGTGATTTTACATTGAAGGGAGCTTCAATTAAGGAGATGCAAGTGTTTCCACTATGTTCGCAAGAAGAAGAAGACAAGCAAAAGAGCATGAGTCAGGATAAGTATAAAATATCAATTTTACTCTAAAAATTACATTTTTCTATTTCCGTGCGGTTGCAGATTGTTACTTTGATTGGATCACTTTGTCAGACAGAAGACCTCTTCCAGCTTAATTGTCTTTGGGAGTTTGTCTTATGCTTATATGTACCCCAAGGAGGACCTCTTCTGAAAAAGAATTATACAAACCTGTTTTGTAAATATTTTTATTAAAGGTCACATAAACCCTAGGGGGTACAAATACATAAATCACTAACTGGCATCGTTATAAATGAAACCCCGTCATTAAAACTACTCATTTCGACCTTTAATTGACTTAAATCGACCTTTTTGACAACAGTGCACAATTCTCACCAGCGAACGAAATTTCAACCAATCAGAGCGGCGCGCCTCTGTGACGTCATATGAGGAATAGCTTTGAGAGCCTATGCAGAATTCATCTACATTTTAGGGGGTAAATTATCGTGTTTACAGCCTTGTATAAACCTGAAATCGTGACAATTGTTGTGGAAAATGAAAGCTATATGTTCTCACAATCTACTGTCATTTAATTTTGTCTCCTGCTTTGCCTAGTTTCCGAGTTACAACTTGTTTTCATAGACGATTCTGTCAAAATCGATTGGTGTCGTTAGGCCCTATTTGTATAATGACTGATCTAAATTGATCCCATTTCTGTGTTGTTTTACCTCGATATTTAATCATGTCATGTAAAAATCTGTTTGTATTCTCAAAACAGTGTCGGCCCATAAGTTTTCACATGCAATACAGCAATTAATACTCCCTCGTTGTAACCCGTGTTAGGTGGTATAAACCTACACATGTTATTTGTCATCATTCACTTGATGGTCAGTTAATGAATTTATAACAGGTATAATTAGTGGTAACACACTTAGATTACCCGACAAAGGTTCCCATTTGGCATTTCTTGTGTCTGGAGTAAATATTCAACATTATAAACATCGATCAAAGGATTAACCGATAACACGCTGATTGATTAATTACTTTTATCTTACACAGCGGAATTGTCAAAGGTAGTGTTTATGTATGTAGATTTACTAATCTATACTGAATACACTCTGTCGTGTCGGTGTCTGCGTAAAAACAACGTCCTTCTTTCAAAGGATTAACCGGCAATACATTGATTGATTGCCCATTATTGGCTAACTAAATTACTGTTTTTAAAGAAAGGCGGACATTATGCAATTAGTTGCCAGGTGTGCTATCTTGGGTGACCAATGAGACTATACACCAATACCTGAAAAGATTTATCACTTTTTCGTATATTAAACTGTTAAAAGACACATCATTTGGAACAGTTTTGTGGATATTGATGGATACATTCCTCGAACAAGGTAATGGCCTGATATTGTTCCTATAACTTTAATCTGTTTTAATTTTAATATTTGCATTTTGTTTTTATTCATTTGTCGTAGCATTCAACAGAATCATTGTTTTCGCCGTGAAGTGTAATGAGACAGACATTGGCAAACTATAAAATGTCTAGATATTACAGTTCTGTTATAAATTCACTATAAGTATCAGCAGATCGTCTCCTTTTTATTTAGTTTCAAAATACATACAAGTGTGATAATAAACTAATTAGGATTATAAGACCAAATATAAAGACGCACATTGACTAGTATCTACATACTGGTGAGTGGACATTAACCATGGGAATGTAGCAAGAAATTTATCGCGCAGTATTGTGACTTCGACCCCCACCTCGCTTCCGTGGAAGAAATCGTTATGTTATAAGTTGTGTCATGCAAAATCCGTTTGGTTATGATTCCAATACATATTTAACAACGAGTAGAAAGTTGTCTTGATTTTCTAACTTGATGAAAACAAACTATAATCTTATTAATTCTAACAGATTTTTTTATTTTTAAAAATGGCGGCGCCCTGTCGGGAACATCTGCCAGTCTGAGGATAAATGGTATTTAGGTTTGTTTTCACCGAGTTACAAATCAAAACTACTTTCTACTGGTAGTAAAATATGTATTTTATTGATGGCCAATAGGATTTTGCATGACATAGCGTATATCATAACAATTTCTCTCGTGGCAGCGAGGTGGGTGTTAATATAATACTACTTACAATATTATTGTTACTTCGACCACTACCTCACTTCCGAGGAAGAAATCGTTATGTTACAAGTTGTGTCATAGAAAATCTTTATGGTCATCAATCATATGCATATTTTACTACAACTAGTAAGTAGTTTTGATTCTTTAACTTCCGTGAAGCGATCTGAACACAAGTAAGATATCGTTTCAGGCTTCCACAAGCGCCGCCGCACTCACAAACATAACCCATTTAGCACGAACTCGCGGGTCCTGTGGAAATCTGTGCATGGGGACACCATCGCCCGACCCTAGGAGCAATTGGCGACAAAGCAACGATTCGGCATGTTGTCGTTGATGTCGAGAAATCATCAAAATGATGAGCGTGCTACACATTTTTCTATACAACTAACTGAAAATCGTTCCTCATATGACGTCACTGCAGTGCTCTGGCGACAGAGTTACGTAACCTGTCTGTGGTTTCGTTGGCGGGCGAGAGGGAAGCAGGCGACTTTTTGGCCACTTTTAATCGCTCGGTATTAATTAACCACAAGTTTTTAAAGAATAAATTTGGTGTTCCGCATAAGACTAACCACAAATCTTTCATATGTAATGGTTAAAAGAGTAACAAAAAACAAACTTTAGTGGTTCTTTAAAATATAGTTACAACTGTCGTAGGGTTTAAAATGGACATTTTAATGCTTATATGTACCCCAAGGAGGACTTTCTTCAAAGAATTCATAACCTATACAGGTTTGTATAAATTTAATTGTGTAAGTTATGATTTAGCTTCAGAAAAGGAATGAGCTCCAGAAAAGGAAAGTTCCTTCGAGTTCAGATAATAATATATTCTTCTTTTTTCTTCAGAAATCAAACTTTTGGATGAGGAAACGTTTGACTTTGATTTAGCCATGTCACCACAAGTGAGGTATGTTGATATTCCTTTAATAACATGGGGAATATCTCTATTGTTTATTTATTTTTTATAAGGTGAGTGAGTTTAGTGTTACGCCACACTCAGCAATATTCCAGCTATATGGAGGCAGTCATTTATTTTGTGTAGACAATGAAGTACGCTGTGATATAAGTTTGACACTAATGACTGGTTATTTTGCAGCACTGTCAGCAAAGATGTGGATGAAGATGTGGATGAGGAGGAAGTGTTTTTTGGTCCAGTTGGGTTCACAGAAAGAATTGTAGCAGCAACTGTTCCAGTAAAAGATGTGAAGCCTATGAGTCCCCTGAATCCATCTCAAATTGCCCAAGTAGTAATGGAAGCACACATGGTTGCATGTAGGATTGCCAACATGAAACCTGAGCAGGACAGTGCAGACGAGAAATCCCCAGTCAAATGCAAGCTGTTCAGTCCAAATAGTAGAGCCCACGCACGGACAGGCACCTTTGTCATCAAGGATGAAGATGTGCAAAAACAGTCACCTAAAATTCACAGGTCTATACCATGTATAGACTATGATAAAAAAACCAGTGAGAATATACCAGTGAGTAGTCACTGTGCCCCTGAAAAAGATAGGCCAATGGAGAGCACAGCATCAGAAACAGTATCAGATGATGACAGAAAGAAACCAAATGAAGCTCAAGTTAAAGAGGAGAAAAAACCATCACGTCTCACTAAACTGCCAAGAAATAGGAGCTACACATTACTTAAAAAGGTAATTTCTTATCTCATTGTAATTCTCATTCTGACTGTGAGTATTCCAATCTTTCCAGAATACTTGCATCTTTTCCACTATATTTACATCTTGCATGTGATCTGTCATGAGCTTGGCTTACCTGACCAGAATATACATTTTGCTTAAGACTAGAAGTAAAAATGTGAAGTAAAAGAAATGTGGACATTTAGATTATTTTTCCTTACCCTGACTCATGCTCTTTTGCTTGTCTCCTTCTTCTTGCGAATGATAGTGGAACACTTGAATCCCCTCTTGAAGCTCCCTTCAATAAAGCGGACGTAAAATCACTCACCCCACGAGTAGCCTCCCTTTGCCCTTTGGCACCATTATTGGTCACCTGACCAGCCAAGCTTGTCACTCTCTCCTTCTTCACCCTAGAGGATGGTTGTGAGAGTGCCTGGGTCCCCTATACGGCATTATATCCTTTTATTTTAGGCTTTGACTACTAAATTAGCTGTATACGGTCTTTAGCAAGGATATAACAGCAATATGGTTTGAAATTTGTACCAAATTTTCCGTTTATTCACGTTGTTGACATGATGTTTCATCTTGTTTACATTTGATGAAAACTTGCATTTGTTGCAGGTTTCGTTTGTCGGCTGCTGATCCGCATTCATTATGTCCTAACTGCACTTCTACATGTTCTTCCAGCCTCCGCTTTAAACTTTGTCAGCATTTATCTGAAATTGAATTTACTAATTATTTATACTCCATTCTTAGACGTGCCAAGGACATGTCGAGACGACTTTTACAAGTCATGTCTAAACACAGTGAATGTGTTGATAACCGTGTATTATTGTCTGCCGTGATTCACCATTCCAGTGATTTGCCGGTGGCTACTACGGAGCTGTTGACTGGCAGATGGCAGCTCTGGGTCCAGGAAGAGATCGTCATCGTCTCAACTACCCTCGTCGCAGTCTAAGAAGACCAGGACATCGTCTGCTCTGAAGAAGAAATCGTCTACAAATAAGACTTCATCGAAGTCGTCCCTTGGGGCAGCAAAGAAGACGTGGTCCTTTGCCGCAGAAATCACCCCACCAGACGAAGCAGACATATACGATGAACAACCCATCCTGATTCCTGCAGTAACAGTTAGGAAGAAGACGAGGTCTTCTTCTACACTGACGTCAGCAGCCATATCAACGCAGTCAGACGTCTTATCAACGCAGACTTCAAAGACCAGAGACGACAGGCAGTCCTTGGAAGGAGCCTCAGCACTCTCAGATGTGTCGTCATCTTTACAGCAGCAGCAGTTGTCAGTTGTGCAGCAGTTTACTCAGCAGATGATGGACCTGATGGAACGGAGGTTTCGCAGGAGAAGTCTGCGGTGAAGACACCATCTATGACGAACCTGCACGAAGGACAAGCAGCCTGCAGATCGCATCCGAGTGAAGATGGCAGCCTGCTTGAAGAAGGGAATGTTCGTGAAGGATCACGTACTCGACAGTCATCCACGACAACTTCCCGAGAACCTGTCAACCTGGACAACGATGAGCCTGCAGTAGAAGAGGAGCATTCGCGAAGGAGAACCAGATGTTCACTGGAGCATCGCAGATCATCCTCGACCTCAGACTCGGACAATCATCAAGGACCTGCGCGAACGTACTTCACATCCCACGGAAAAAAAAAATCTTCACCTTCACAAAGGCGCAGGAATACGTCTCGGGACTCCAGGGAGGATCTTTATACGGATCGATCACCTTCGCGCAGGTCTTCAGGAAGATCTTCACGTTCATCACCACGCAGATCTTCACACACATACAGAAGAAGGCTGCTACGAAGACCTCATCTACGATGACGAGCCTGCGCGAAAGACCAGCAGTCTTCACATCACATCCCAACGAGGATGGAAGCCTGCGTGAAGGAGGAAGTCTGCGTGAAGGCTGATACGAAGACCTCATCTACGATGACGAGCCTGCACGAAGGATCAGCAGTCTTCACATTGCATTCCAACGAAGATGGAAGCCTGCGTGAAGGAGGAAGCCTGCGTGAAGGTTCACAGTGACAGCAACCTCGACAACGATGATGCAGCCCTTGACGTGCTGGAAGGACCTTCCAAGAAGCCTTCGCGCAGGAGCAGGACTAGACATTCTTCGGAGTATCGCAGAAGATGGTCACATGGATCATCTTCACCCTCAGACGAGGATCTTCGTCATGAGCCTGCGTGCATGCACTCCTCATCACAGAGAAGAGAAACCACACCTTCCGAAGGCAGAGGGATACGTCTCAAGATTCAAGTGAAGATTCATAATCCAACCGTTCACCTGCGCGCTGGTCTTCAGGCAGGCAGGGACTCACGTCGTCGTGGATCAGATTTGCACTCACGTACAAGATATCTAACATTGATTTGTTACGTTCACCTTTCACCTATTGACCTGATAGCTCAAGTACCAGAGAATCTCAGCGCAGCCTTGGTAAGGCTATGAAGTTCCAGAGTCAACATGTCCCGACGTTCAACGCCAGGAAATTCCCATTACTTCATATGGAACCCTTCATGAAGGCTCCAGAGATTGTTGAGAACTACAAGATCATCAAGGACTCCCATTGCAGAACTTACACAACTACTAGACGTACTTTTTTCGGGCTAGACAGATCCAACATCAGCGGGCTTGACTCTTGTGAGGAAGGGGACACCTTGACAGTTATCACTGACCTAGCATTGGCATTGTCGCAGTCCTCAGCGTGACATCGTTTTTCACGGTCATCATAGCGAAGAATTAACTCTACAACAACCTTTGTGTATTCAACACAATTGGTTATTTTCGGCGCTTCATTGAGACCGATGACTACAGTCTACAAGTAACAGCGTTAAGCAAGTATGGAACTTCAGCTGATCATCTGTATAAGATGACGACTGCATTATCTTCAGTGAAGAAGGAAACAATCACAACAGTCAGGGAGACAGTCTACCTACATCGGTATTACGCGGCGGAATCTTTCGCGCGTTTTCCACTCAGCCTGCTATACACGTGTTCACTCGTGTAACTCCGGTAGATTACGGACAAGGCCGAGTGTTGATGAAGAAATCAACGACTGCACAAGATTTTACAAGGATCTTTTTCCTGCAATACCGGTGACGTCACATTGCGGGAATCTGAGATGAATCAAATGCTGCAAATTGATTGGTCCATGAGAGAGAACGCCCTGCGCAGAAGTCGAGCATAGCTCTGGTGCCAGGAAGTCATCTACAGTTGTAAACAACTTTTCAACGTGGGAGAAAGGCTCCATTTACAGTCCAGTTAGCAGGGTACAGCATGATTCGACTGTCTTCACGGGTCATAAGGACCTTCTCTGTCAGCAGATTGAAGATTGTTTATCCGACAATTTGCAGCAACATACGTTTGACGATTTCTGCTCGCAGCAGCCAGTCTACTATACATAGACTTCACAGCGATGTCAGTTCCAGTTCATCTTACGACGAATTATGCATCATCACTGCACTTTGTTGGGATTCTGGGGACAAGTCTTCTTGACACATTATCGGAAGATTGAAGAAATAAACTTCAAGTCATGATTACAGAACTGGACATTGCTCCGCTTCCATTACGGACATGGCAAGGGTTCCACTGTCTACTTACCTACAACGTAGGATATGAGCAGATTTCTGGGAAAATGTTCACCTCACCACAGAATCACATGGTCGTCTCACAGGATTGGTGGGCCTAGATACAAGCCATGTTATCACAAGCACTACTCACTCCGTTACCACTACGAAGTTGGCCTATTTGGTCTTCTCACGTCAGCCCAAGACATGACACACAGAGGAAGACTACAACTGTGCCCACTACAACTGTTCGTGAACGCTCATCTAGACAGTCTGGACTCCTTCGGACTACTGGACGGACTGAAACCATATCTTCTATGGTGGACTCGGAAGTCGAATGTTTGTGGTGGAACCTACTTATCAGAGCCGGAGTGCAACACTCATCTCTACGTAGATGCATCACTTCAAGGATGGGGAGCCCACCTCAACAACGAAGTGGCAGCAGGGAAATTGTCGAGTCAGAAGCAGAGTCTGTACATCAACATGCTCAAGGTGAAAGCAGTAATAAACGCCTTACTACACTTGTCCAGCATACTAAGGAACGCACAACTGATGATCCATACGGACAACTCCACAGTGGCATTCTACATCAACAAACAAGGAGCGACAAGGTCAAGGAATCTTTCAGACCTCAGCTTTCATCTGTTCAGCATAATAGACAACCTGAACATCGACATAAAAGCATGCCACATTCCCGAAACCAAGAATGTGATAGCAGATGCCCTATCTCGTCCAACACAACCATCCCCGGCGGAATGGATGTTACATCCAGAAGCCTTCAAATGCATCATACAGAGTATAGGATATCCGCTGATAGACCTGTTTGCTACAAAGTTCAACAAACAACTACCAACATTCGTCTCTCTGGTTCCGGATCCACAAGCATGGGCAACAGATGCTCTAAGCATCTCCTGGGAAGGACTAAACGCTTACGCGTTGCCACCTCAAGCTCTAATACCGCAGGTGTTGCAGAAAATCAAGCAGACGAAGAAGCTGCAACTGATTTTGGTCGCGCCCTACTGGCCAGCGAGGGTGTGGTTTCCCATCCTCATACAAGAACTCGGAAGTCCAACCCTGCAACTCCCAGAGTGGCCGAACCTACTAATTCATCTGCACACCAAGCAAGCACAGGGGAATCCAACAGTATTCCAGCTACACGCATGGAACGCATTAAGACTTGCTTGAAGAAAAGAGGATATTCCACCAGAGCAGCAAAAGCAGTCACAATAGCTCTACATAGATCAACCCGCAACTTGTACGACAACAAGTGGCAGAGTTTTGAGAAATATGCATTGAGGAAGGGCTTCACGGCGATGAAAGCAACACATCCTCAAGTAGCGGAATACCTTTGTCATCTAAGACAAACGAGGCGGTTAAAAGGTTCAACACTCTCTACATACCTAGCGGCCCTCAGCACGGTTATCACCATGATGACGGGTGTTAAGCTGACCAAAGTACCAGAGATACTGGCTCTACTATGCTCCTTTAAGTTGGAAGACCAACAAAAGAAATTTAAAGCGCCTGCTTGGGATCTCAACGTAGTCTTGCAGCATCTCACCAGTGAAAGGACATCCTATGAGTTTTTAACACACAAAACTCTGTTCCTGATCGCCTTGGCAACAGCAGCTCGGATGTAGGAAATACATGCTCTGAACTTTGAACGAACACGATTTGATGCACATCGCAACATCGTACATCTGGGATTGAGATGGGACTTCATAGCAAAGAACAACTGCCCGGTCAACCAGACAGACAGTTCCACATCCCAGCACTCTCGACAGTCCTTGGGCCACAGGATACTCAGGACCTGCCCAGTCAGAGCATTGAAAGTCTACCTACAAAGGTCTAAGACGAGGAGACGAAAATTCAAGCACCTTTTCATCCCTCTATCTACGGGGGTACCTACAGAGGTCTCACGTACGACGATATCGATATGGATGAGAGCCGTCATCCTAAGAGCCTACAAAGCAGCAGTACTTAAGCCTCCACGAGCCTCCAACCCTCATTAAGTCAGAGCGATGGCATCTACACTCGCTCTGCATGGAAACTGCTCCATCTCAACAATAATGGAGGGCTGCTTTGGAAGTCGGAGACAGTGTTTGCCAACCACTACCTCAGAGACATTGCTACCGAGGACGTCTCCGGCATTCACCAGTTTGGGCCTCTTGTTGTAGCACAACAATTGACGGTTCCTCAAAGGCGCTGAGATGAATCTCACCCTTTTATCACGTGACTTGTAAAAGCCAACGCTCTGAAGAGCTAGAGCTTTAGAGTCCATGCACATGTCCAGGACAGACCAGCATGTGTGATAGACCCTGTACTTGTAAAGGACTTACTCGTACATGAAGAAGGGTCGCTTCTCCACTTGATGCGAGCATCAAGACATGGAGTTGCATAAATCCACACATAATATCAGGAGAAGAGTTCCAGAGAAATCTGACAAGTTGTGGTCCCCCCAGACTCATCAGAGGAAGCTGGAAGAAAAAAGGATCAGCACAAGTGCCATCATAAGTTCCCACGGGGGGTATGCAGGACGTAAATCTACAACTGATGAGTCCAGAACTGGCCTGACCCACCACCGGTTCTGTCGGATTCTACAAGCAAAAGAGCATGAGTCAGCATAAGGAAAAATATGTATTTTTTAAATTAAAATTGATATTTTATACTTATCCTGACTCATGAGGTCAGCCCTCCCAACCTCCCCTCTGGACACTCTGGATTTCCCGGTAATCTGGGTGTCGGGCTCATATACGGAGAGAGTGACAAGCTTGGCTGGTCAGGTGACCAATAATGGTGCCAAAGGGCAAAGGGAGGCTACTCGTGGGGTGAGTGATTTTACGTTCGCTTTATTGAAGGGAGCTTCAAGAGGGGATTCAAGTGTTCCACTATCATCCAAGAAGGAGACAAGCAAAAGAGGATGAGTCAGGATAAGTATAAAATATCAATTTTAATAAAAAAAATTACATTATGTTTGTTTTTCTGAAGGCCCCAAGTACTGAGAGCCTGGATGTAGTGGGCCCATCAGAGAGGATTCGGCACCAGAGCAGTGGTTCTGACAGAACCTCTGAAAATGGCAGTGTTGCATCTGACAACAGTGATGTCCCCTTCACTAAACCAGTTGGCCAGATTAGAGGCAGTCTGCAGCAGAAGCTGAAGGTAAATTCCATTGCAGAATAATTTTAAACTTATCCTATCTCACGGTATGCACCTCTTTTCTTCTTCTATGACCATGTGTGGAAATGTGCTGTAGGCTAAGATGAATCAAAGTTTTCTGGCCTCTAACCACCTGACCTCTGCCCCCACTCCTCTTAGCACGACCTGTCAATCATCTCATAAGTGTGTCAGTTGCTCAGATGGTCACGTGACGCTCTGTGCCTGCCATTCTCTTTCAAATTCTTGTCGCTACACCGAGTAGTCATGTGTTGTTCTCTCAGTTAGACATTACTTGATTGTCAATATGGGCAAATCGAATCGAAGTTCTTCTAAGACACGCAAACATTGTGATAAGTGTGACGGCAACTTTTCCGCTGCAGACCCACATGCCTTGTGTGTGGATTGTATAGGGTGTTGTAGCTGGTCGCATTGGTGTGCAATTTGTTCACACTTGAATGATGATGATTTTTCTGAATGTCAACGGGTCGCATTTAGACATAGGGCGGACAGAGATCGGCGTATACCTGCTGAGGGTCCTTCAACTTCTAAATGTGCTAAATCGGAACGCCGTTCAAAGAAAGCAGTTCATCGATCTAAATCACAGTCTCCGGACGAAGAATTTTTAGAGGTGGCCTCAGACTCTTACTTGAGTGAGAATCTCCGTCGTCTCTTCCTTCCTCAAGCGTCCAGTCCCGTCTCCAGACATGTTTTTTTTCCTCCGAGAGTGATAGTGCTAACTACCTCTGCAGCGCAGTCTCGATCTTCTAAATTGCTGACGATTTCACAGACCCCTAGTTTGCCTCCAGTGGTTGTTTCCAGTGCGCTGCTTTGGTTGAGTGCTCCACCCCCCTCTGCTACGGTGGGTGCACTTGGTCTAAGCGGTCACTCTCATGCGGCGAGTGCAGTCAGTTCGGCGCTTTCTACCACAGGGATCAGTTTGGCACTTTCCACCTATGCGCCGCTTGCTTCCAATGCGGCGCTTTGTTCGAGTTCGCGCTCTCATATCCTCCTGTGGTGGTTCCAGGCATGCCAGTAGTAGGGCTGGGACGATACATTTAAGTTTGATACAGCTATCGTATCGTGGACTGGTGTATCGATACAAAAAGATATGTATACCGGTACATAAAACTGTATTATCATAAACATGTTACAGTACTTATTAAGAGAAAAATACGCAAGTATGATGGAGTTACTTGTTTGTTTATTACAATAGTGTTATTGTTAAACACAAATACCTTGAAATAAATCATTTTACATCTTGATACCGTGTCATTCTTTCAAGGTGTATGTATCGTGATACGTATTGTATCGCAGGTACAATATCCCGATATCGATATCGCATCGTGACATAGTGTATCATCCCAGCCCTAGCCGGTAGTATCCGGTGCGGCGTTTTCTACACCTTTCCCGTACATTGCTCCACCTGCCTATTGACTGCTGACTACGTCCAGTGCACCGATTGCTTCCAATGCTCCGCTTGTTTCCAATGTGCCGCTTACTTTCAATGCGCTGCTTGTTTCCAATGTGTCGCTCTTACATGGACCAACGTTACCTCCTTTGCCTGGTTATCCTGTATCACATAACCTCCCTCCGAGTGTGTCGCTTCAAACTTCTACAGCGGCAGGTGTGAGTTCGGCGCTTCTTCCCGTAGCGCTGCTCACTCTGTCGGCGGAACTCTCCACTAGTGAACTATCTTCTTTTGGATCTGGTCTACCTAATGCGCCACTTGTGGCCAATGCAGCGCTTACTTCCTATGTGTCACTTACAACTACACCTTAGCCTCATTCAACGTGATATTCGGCGCTTCATGATGCACAGTTACATATTCGCCTATGTCAGACACAAGATCAATTAGGCCTCCTGTTACTTCAACTATTCCTGTATCTACGTCTACGGCTCCTTCCAGGCCTATTTTAACGGTATTATGGAATCCTTCGTCTGATGTTCCGGTATCTCAGCCTTTTGATTTTGATTCCATTGTTCCGGCTACGAGGGCTCAATCAGCAGGCCCTCTGACCGCGCCTGTTCAATCTCTTGATGTAACCCTCCCATCAGCCACGCCTTCCCCTACTTCGGATGGTACTTCAACATCCAACCAACATCCGATGGTGGACGATTACTTTTTGGGTCATTGAGTTATGTACTCTTTTGTGTTCATCTCAAATGGGTATTCCAATTTTCCTTTGAGGAACCAAATACATTGTACCCACCTCACTCAAACTCAGTTGGGTATTTTGCCATTTTCCATTAATTGTAAAAATATATATTTTAAATGTTGGTTTACATGTTTTTTTTATCCTTATTTGATCTGTTATATGAGAAACGATAGGAAAGACTGCAAGTTGCCAAGTTCAAGCGCTGAAATAGAACCTTTCAATATACCTCAGTTATTTTATCTATTTTTGTTTGTACGCATGTAATATCAAATATATTTAGTAAACAAAACTTCAAGCATACTTGTATGCAATAGACTTTTATAGGAATTGAGGTTTTACATAAATATTTACGTACCCAGCAAGGCATCTGAGACACGTCTGGGTATTCTGTCATCATTGGTGAGCGAGGTTGTCCATTCTCTCTTGTTGGTTACTTGGTCCCGTTTTGATCTACCGGATCTGAACTACAGGTACCTGATGGGGAAGGATGGGCTTTTCGTCCCGCCAGTGGTGGACGACTGTGTTTACGTCTCCATTGCCCTTGGGGGGTCCTAGAACCCCTCCCTGGCTTTGGCTAGGCATTAGGCATGGCTGGTGTCTGCCGCCCTTCCCACTTAACGGCCTGACGCTGAAATCTGCTTACCACTCCTTCAAGGAGCAATACCGTAACAGTTCAGCGTAACATTCAGCGTACCTCTCTGCTCTTCAGAGGGGGCTGGTGGACCAGGGAAAGTGCGCCGGTGATTCTTCATTGACTCTTGCGCAGCAACTGATGGAGGTCCACTCTCACCAAGTTAGAGACAGCATTCCTAGCTGTGCCAGATGATGAGTGCAGTTATGGGCCTGCATTGTCTGTGGCTGTCCGTTTCAGGGAACTCACCAGCCACACAACAGGTACTACTTACTCTACCCTACAAGATGGGCTCTACCCTCTTCCCTGGGGCTCTGAAAATGGTATGAAAGGCCACGGAAGCTGTTATCAACTTTAAGAATTCTAAACCCTTCCTGGGGCAACCCTCCACTTCTTGTGCACGGCTCTTGGTCCTTCACATCCTTCTGCGCGCTGGGGAGGGAGTCTGCTAAGTGGAATGCTCCACTGCAGACCAAGAAGAGCAAGACAGGCAGAGGTAGGGGCAAGGCAGCTGGATCCCAGCAGCCTTTTCGAGGGAAAGGGAAGCTGGCCACAGCTTCCTGTCAATAGAATCTGTCAGGTGCATGACTGCCAGCTTGCTTCTTGCAGGGATTCACTGCCTTCTGCCACATATCGCTGTCGGTGGCCGGCTCTCAAAATGGGAGAATGCCATGTGAAATCCCTGGGTCCTGTCCACGCTCAGGGATGGCCATTTGCCACAGTGGAACCAAGATCCACCGCCATTTTCCTGAGTGTGGCACACAGTGCCGGCCTCCCAGGAGAAGGTGGAAATACTCTGTGCCGAGGTCCAATCTCAACTGACAAAGCAGCCTTTGAGATGGTTCCAAAAAGGTCAGCAAACATGGGGTTCTACTCCGCTTATTTCCTTGTTGCCAAGGACGGAGGGTTCACACCCATTCTCAATCTCAGAGGGCTAAACAAGTTCATAGAGGTACTGTTGTTCAAGATGGAGACACTGTATTCAGTGATCTCATCTGTCGAGGCTGGGGATTGGCTGACGTCAAACGACCTCAAGGTCGCATACCTCCCTGTTACAATGCACCCTGAGTGCCTTCATATCTCCTTCAACGGGAAGTGATACCCATTTCGTGTGCTCCTCTTTTACATCTCTACGGCGCCAAGGGTGTTCACCAAATGGCTGTGCTGGTGTTGTCACCTGTAACTAGACGACAAGAAGTTTCTTTATATTAGTGGTTGATTCCTCGACGTCAGTGAAGGACCGATTTCGGGAATCTCTCTAAAGGGCTTCCATGGAGAACCCAGAGCCGACACTCTGATCCAAACAGATGTGTCCCCCATGAGCGACCTGTTAGTCTTGGGACTTTGGCTGGAGAAAGAGGTCAGCATGCACATCAATGTGCTGGAATTGAGAACAGTCAGATTGGTGTTCGAACACATCCTGGAGCAGGTTCAGAGTCAGGTGGTCCGTCTCGAGATGGACAACTAGACGCACTCTCTCGATGTATCCTAGACCCACACGAGTGGATGCTCAATCGGGAGATATTTAGGACTATCTCCCACTTGTACGGGTTGTTCCAGGATTGATCTGTTTGCCTCTTAAGTGACGAACCAGATACCAGTGTTTTGTTCTTGGATCCCCGATCTGGGCATTAGCTTCTGATGAATTCCAGCTCAATTAGACGGACAGGGTACTGTGGGCCTTAAGACCAAAATCATTGATCACCAGGGTCCTATTGCAGTTTGCCATCCAGCCGGCTTGACCAAAATCATTGACTATTTGCGCTACTTGCACCTCTTTGTTCAGCTCAGAGCTGGTTTCCAGTAATCCTCAGGTTTCTAGCTCAGCCTCCTGTACTATTACCCTTTCTACTGGACTTTTCCAGAGTGGAGTGCCCCACCCAAATCCCAGGTGGGTGGCCTGGCCGCTGTCCAGAATCGCCTCTAAGAGCAGAATTCCTGCACCAGTTGCAGACACAATTCAGACTTCGCGGAGAGATTCGATGAATGTTCAATACGAGGATCCCTTTTTTGCAGATTTTGTCGATGTATTGAAGTCCTTCAATCCCCACATACTGTCTGATCACGATTAGTATGAAAAGTGATAAACGACGTTAGAGTTACCTTCTCTTGGCTGTAGACCAAGTGAGGTTCTCCGGGGGTGGTTGAACAAGGCAAAAGCAAGTTTTTTGTTGTGTAAATATTTTATTCAAAATATCGTTACAACTGTCATAGGAATTTTAAATGGACATAAAAAACTAAAAATGCTAATAAGTACCCCAAGGACCACTCTATTCAAAGAATACATGAAACAAGCAATCTTTATTCACATTGAAGTGAACAAATTGCTTGCGATTCTCTTGCATGTGATTTGCTAACCAAGCAGTTATTTTTAATTTATGTTTTCATAGCAGTGTCTGACACGTGAAGGTCCGGGTTAGAATATTGATCTTCAGTAACCCATGCTTGTTGTAAGAGGCGATTAACGAGACACATGTCATTGGTTCCCATTTTGCGCAGATCGATGCTCATGCTGTTGATCACTGGAATGTCTGGTCCAGACTCGATTATTTACAGACCGCCGCCATATAGCTGGAATATTGCTGAGTGTGGTGTAAAACTAAACTCACTCACTCATAGCAGTGTCTGGAACTCACCGGAGTAAACTGAGAGCCTAAAGGGGAAGTGCACATGAAAAATTAATGTTTTTTTCTTATGTGAAACAAACGGAATTTTTTAATTAATTAATATGAATGCTTGAAAATATACACTCATTTTTCTTACAATGGAAGTATAACAATATAATTGCTAAAATGTTATGCTACTATGAGGCCTTTGTCGTGCTAAACAGGCCAGGGATCGCACACACGCATGCACGCACGCACACCTCTCTGATGTAATTGGTGCCGATTGATTTAGACTGAAAAAGACTGAAATTAATGACATGATAAAAGTACCGGTATGTAAAAATGCAAAAGAAGCATTAGAACTGAAAATGTAAGCAGCAGGGTAGATTGATCGTGTGTATTTTCATTTGTAAACCTCACCTCAATGAAAACACCAAATATGTATAACAATGTTTACATACATATGACATCACTATTGGGGAGTGACTTTGACAAGATGGCCTGTTCACCGACATGAGTACACAATATGTGGAAGGATACTTTTGTTGTTTCAAGCAACCTATATACATAAATGTGACATGTAAGTAGTTAAAAACATTCTGACAATCTGCGTGTTATTGTCTATCGGTTTTCATTGTGACCAAGACAAATAGTCAGAAATGAGAATGACCATCAACGTTGTGCAAGAGTTTGCATCAGTCATGTTATCACGCTTTCAGAAACTATAATGTATTGTGTTGCATGTAGAAAGAATTGAATATATACACCTATTTTTATTTCTGTATTTCTTGCTACGATACTCTTCCAATACATGTTCTGAAACTTATGAGCAAGTGGGGTAGGTAGCCTTGTGGTTAAAGAATTTTTGGTGTCCCCTGCCGCGGTATTGCTGGAATATTGCTGAAAGTAGTGTAAAACCACACTCACTCACTCACTCACTGAACAATGAGCAAGTGTATGCAAACGAGTAGGCGACTGGATGTGAGGAAATTGTACATAGTGTTAAATCTGAGCTTGGCTTTGTTTACATTTCAAATAAATGGTTCTTTCCCTGCGCGGCATTCATTTTCACATCTGATATATTTCGCTAGATTTCACTGAGACACTTGGTATTGGTGACAAAGATCAATTGTCATTTTTATTTTGAACTGTATGAGTAATTCAGGGATTCGTGTAAGGAACCTGATCTTGAATTATAGTTGTGATGTAATAGGCGAAACATAACTGACATATATTCACTGATGGCTAACTAGATGTAGTACATACCGGTGTACGTTTTAGTTTTGCTAAAAGAAAATATTGTTGGAAAGGTGACTGGCAGAGGTTAAATGTTACCTATTTTGTTTATGTGGTAACACTTTTTTGTAACACGTTGAGACACAAGAACCACACACCTGTACCTGCACACGTGAATGGGTCAAATGAGGTCATTCGTTTATCAGTTTGGCACCAATGACATCATATTGCAAGGGATGTAAGACATGGTGTGTTTATTGTAGACATAGAACACTTGGTAAATGTGCAAAATATGAATCGATATAATGCAAAAAATATATTAGTTACTATTGATATCTGTACTGTTTGGGCTATGATACTACTTGACAAACACTTTTTATGCTGAAAAAGTGCAAGACAAAGAGGTTAATTTTCATGTGAACTTGTCCTTTAAGTCCCAAAACTTTCAAAGTCAACTTAAACTTGCCAGGATTTTTAAAAGTAGCATTTTTGTCATTTTAATTGTAGCTAACATTTCTTACAATCGCCAGCAGCTGAAGGGATGGTGTAAATCCAACTAGGGTCCATGCAGGTAGCCAAGGTACTGTAAGTCCCCATGGTCCCTAGTATGGTGATCGACCTTCAGTTGTTGGCGATCTATAGCCTGTTTTTATCTTGTATTGTCCTAATAGTGCTATTGGTTTTAACCTTCCACACTAGTTTTAAATCTAATTGTGATATTCTAGTTGTTTTACTGTCCTTCGATGACAGGTTTTATAATATATACATATTCCATTACAATGTAAACTGTTCTCGTCCGATATGGCTGAAATATTGCCGATGTGACGTTAAATATTAACTCACTCACTTTAAGGGCCAACACATTTAAAAAATTGTAGTCGCAGTGGAAAAACTGTAAGTCCATCGTTTTAGCTGAAGAGACTTACTTTTGTAATATAAATTACAAAGCCACGAATACACAACGAAATTGCATCACGAAGGCATTTAGGTAACCAAAAATAATATTTGTGAGTTCTGTAGCAGCACAGTATGTCAACAATAATGCAATACCTAATGCACTGCGTAGATTGCATATAAACTAGTCTCATAACTCTTCTTCCCTTTGCATCTGTATGTTCCTGGGCTGATTAATGAATACTTTGAAGCTGGACCCTGCTTTACATTTAGCAACCTAAGTGATATGATTCATTTACCATATTCACAGCTAAAATAAAGTTGTTCATATTTACATTACATACTGTTGGCTGAGTCAAGTCAGTAGAAATATAGGGAGTACAAATTAAGGATGTAAGAAAGGATTGTCCATATAACAATGAGCATACCATTTTGGTTTTTAGGCTCCAGTGGGTAAAGGTAGCCACAGTTCTTCTCGTGTGTCAAGACTGCAGGCTCCAGGTGGATCATCAGGTCTGAAGAAACCAAGTGGCATGGTGATGCCAGGCACCAGCAGTGCTCTGACAGTCAAGAACTTGCAGAGAGCTTCGAAAGGTACCACAGACCAACAGACACATCAGAGAAGTCTCTCTAACTCTTCCAACTCCAGCATGGGCTCTTCCATCTCAAACAAGTCTGGAGGATCTCATCTGCCAGCTAAGACTGGTATGCCCATAAAGAGATTACAGCTCATGCAGCCTGGCAAAATACAGAAAAATTCACTTGCCTTGAATAGAAACAGGGTGTCTTCAACACAGAAATCATGTGGACCCATGAAGGCTGTGGCTCCATCCAGTACAGCAAATGAATGCAAAGGTAGATTGAGGATGTTAAATTCTGTTCATTGTGACTTTTCAATTCGTGTGAAAAATGTATGAGTGATAATCAATAATTTCACTTAAACAATACAGTTGAATGTTGGTTACTAACAGTCTGCACAAAACACAATTCAGTCTACAAGTTGTCTTTTCTGCACTATTGTTTTATATTTCACTGTTGTTAGCTGAGCATATTAGACCAAACAGAATTTTACTCAGGCTTTAGACTAGTGGATTGCCTCGCAGATTACGAACAGGTGGATTGGAAAGAATATAAAATGTTTAACTCCATGGTATCAGGGTATGATAGCATGCAATAAACCAATAAAGTATTTCAGTAATATGAACAAGGCACATCAGTTAAGAGCTACCTTGGCAGCAACATCTTATAGATTTGCGGATTCCTGCATATTAGCATGGAGAGAAAAACTTTGACACTGAATAGGTAATATTAGATACCCAAAGTAAGGTAGAGTGGAACATATAACACCTGTTCTTTTGGGTCTTGACTGAGTCAGACTGTCACACTTTTGATATCTGCAGCCCAGTCCCCTCGACAATCTACCGGTACATCAATGAGAACCCGAGGAACGCCAGTAAAACCAGACAAGTCTGTTCAGCCCAAGAATCTCTCCAGTAGCTTCAGCACTCCAGTCAAGGCAGGGTCAGTGGGTGACAACATGTTTGTGTTTATGAATTTCATCTTGTTGACTAATCCTGGTTATATGTTATTTTTTTTTTTTATATATACTTTTTGTATCATTTCTTTATCAATCAAAGGGTGAAAATGTCCAAAAAATATTGGACAAGATAATACTAATGATTGTTGAATTCTTTATATTGTACAGCTCCTTATTCAAAAGGTCACTTGTCTTCAGAGTTAAGGTGGTTGTAGAAAAACTTATTTCAAACTTTTTCGATAATGGTTACAAGGAAGTTCTATAACCCTTTTATGCTGGTCTTTTTTTCTGAAATATTGACTGCAATGTAATTTTTTATGCCTGAGGGCTCTTTGTAAAGATTATATACAAGTTTGAATTTTTTTCATCTTGGGGCTGGCTGCTTATTGGAAAAGTGCACTTAATCTATTTGAATACTGATGCTGACAGCTAATTATATCCTGTCTGACTTAGTATACATTTCAAGCTCTTTGAACTGTATTTACAGGCAGGAATTAGACAATAACTACCGAGTGACGGGGAATGACAGATTATTTTTCCCCGAGTTATATTAATTACATTATTCTCGAGCCTTGCATACATAATTAATATAACATGGGAAAGATAATCGGTCATTCCCCGTCACGAGTTGGTTATTGTTTTTATTACCCATATCAGTTTTCGATCTAAAACATGCTAAAATGAAAACAGCATTCTCTATAAGGAAACCAGCAATGTGTGGAATCCCCGTATCCCTACACATTGATTGGCTGTTTATTTTCTGAAACAGCCAGTCAACGTTCAACCAAAAGGTGTCACCCCCTAGGCACTTACAGGAAATATACTACCCTGTGTCCTCCTTCCCATATGGCTAATAATTGCACACCGGTCCCATTGTGGTCTGTTAAGAAAAATGTTATTTTTCCTTATCCTGACGCATGCTAAATGCTTGTCTCCTTCTTGCGAATGATAGTGGAACACTTGAAATCCCTTGAAGTTCCCTTCTTAAAAAAAAATGGACGTAAAATCATCACTCACCCACGAGTGGCCTCCCTTGCCCCTTTGGCGCACGGTTGTGAGAGCACCTGGGTCCCTATACAGCACATGTCCTTTTCTATTTAGGACCTTTACATCACAATTATTGCTGTATACGGCTTTTAGGATTGTATTCTACTATATGGTTTGAAATTTGATCTAAATTATACTAATTGTAATTGTAATAATTGTAACGATTCATCGATAGTATTGATGTTTACATCGTCAGCTACGTGATACGAGTGCATCGATACAAAACACATTTAGGCAATATATCAGGATATTTATATCTCGAGGGTCCATGATACATCGATGTATTGCCACAAGAGACGATATATCCCGATACAACTTAAATACTACTAATACATTAGGAATAGGAAAGGAGTCTCTTTGAAATTCTTCTGAATTTTAAAAACATTGAACTTGAAAGGAATTTGTTTGCGTCTGTTATCTCTGTTACATGAACAAAGGAGTTGGTGTATAAGTCACAGAGTGTGAACATTCAAACTCTGTGAACTGAGAATATTTGTCTTCAAGTAATTGAAATATGCAGATATGTTTTAGTTGTTTGACAAATAACACTGTTTATTTACAACTATGAACGATGTCTTAGCATTGTTAAGAAAGAGAACAAAGAGAAGATAAAATTTAGAAAGCAGACTTAAGTGATTCTGAAAGCTGATATAAATTACATTGAGTTGTTTGTGAAAGCATTGGTGTAGAAACACAACTTCCCAAGGGGAAACTTCACTTTGAGATTTATATATATTAGATCAAGGTATACTGAATATGTTTGACTTTCTTAAGCATTAAATGCTGAAACTTTATTAGATGAACAGCTTTTTAAGTGTGTGTAAATGGAACACAACTTCTGCTGTATAACCAAAAAAAGTTTCAGTCATTTTATCTATGATATCTGTTCTGTTATTAGAAATTGTAAAGTATGGGGAGACGTATTGTATCGCCACCATTGTATCGTGATGATAATCGTCTCGCAGGTTCCTTGCCAATACTTTCATGATATATCGTCTCGCCTCATTAAACTGGTATCGGGATATATCATCTTGCCACTTAGGCCACGATACACAGCTCTAAATTATACGTTGTTTGACATGTTTTTTTCATCGTGTTTACATTTGATGAAAACTTGTATTTCGTTGTAGGTACAGGTTGTCTGCGTCTGACCCACATTTATTATGTCCTGATTGCACTACTTCATGTTCTTTCAGCTCTTGCTGTAAACATTGTCTGAATTTAACCACTTTTGAATTCAATAACTACCTTTTTTCCATTCATAGACGTGCTAAGTAGGGCTGCGCAATATAACCGGTTTACCGGTATTTACCGGTTCAGACATGAAAACGATAAGTATTGCGATACGCTGATCGAAAACCGGTATTTTGACTTGCATTGGGAAAACTTCGTAACACTCGGATATGTTCGGATATGTCCTTGTTTAATTTGTGTCAAATATTATTCACATTTTTATTTTATCATGATTAAAAGTTGTTATTAAAGCTTAATCAAGCCTAGTGATTTTGATGTGTTTTTACTCTATAAATCAAGAAGTAACTCGATTATAAGTAGTTTTTGTATAAAAATACTTCATGCAATATATTGCAATACATATCGGAATACATGCTTTCACATCGCAATATATCGCAATATGAAAATTCTCTGCAATACCCACCCCTAGTGCTAAGGACTGGGTAAGACGGTATTCACAAGTCATGTCTAAAACGAGTGATTGTGCTGATAACCGTGTGTTAACTACTGCTGCTGTTCATAATTCCAGTGAATTGCCGAGCGTTTTAGGGGGGCAGGTCGCTGTTCCAGTGATGAACTCTGGAGCCAATAAGAGATTGTCGTCAACGGAGCTGACCTCTTTGCAGACGAAGAAGACTAGATCGTCTTCAACGCAGAAGAAGAAGGCTACTACCCCTAAGACTTCATCGAAGTCTCTACACAGCTCTACACAGAAGACGAGATCCTTCTCTGCCAAGATTGTACCTCCAGAAGCAGCAGACGTGTATGATGATCCCCCCCATCCTCATACCTAAAGTCACAGTCATCAGCAAGAAGACAAAGCCTGCTTCTACATCTACATCGGCAACTTTATCAGTGCAGACATTGATAGCAGCAGCGTCAGCTCTTCACAAGTACCTTAGAAGACGCCTCATCGTTGTCAGAAGCATCATCAACCCTGCAGCAGTCTCTTCAGACATCGCAGAACTGCAACCCGGGGCTGTTCATGCAACAGTTTCCAGACCAGATGATGTCGATGATGGAACGTCGCTTCGCGCAGGAAAAAGCTGCTACGAAGACCACTGTGATGACTACTAGCCTGTGTGAAGATTCAGCAGTCTCTCCAACGCACTTGGAAGAAGAGGGAAGCCTGCGTGAAGGCTCACGCACCCGGCGATCTTCCCCATCTGAAGTTAGGAGCCTGGACAACGCTACCAACGTCAGCTCAATCTAAGACATCCCTGAAGGAGCCGCTAAGAATTCTCCACGCAGAAGTAGATCGAGGCGTTCTCCCTAAACCTACAGACGTCATAGATACGGGTCGTCATCAGCATCGGACTCAGACACACATCGGGAACTGGCACGCAGGCACTCCACATCTTACAGAGGGGAAACTACGTCAAGAATCAACCTTCACGAAGGCCTAGAGAGAGATCTCAAGACTCCAGGAAGGATACACGATCACATCGGCATCGTTCACCTGCGCGCAGTTCGTCATACAGATCCTCACACAGAGACTCACATCGTCGTGGATCGTCAGAGCGGGATATGTCTAAATCAGAGGAAGAAGGTGAAGTCATATTCTCCGATACGGAAGTAACCTCATAGATTGCTAATGGCCTGGACCTAGCATCACCTTCCAGGGACACAGACGAAGCCTTTACATACAAGATGTCCAACGATGATTTCGACACACTCACCTTTCCGCCTATCAACCCGATCTCCCAAGTACCGGACAGTCTCAGCTCAGCCTTTGATAAGGCTACCAAGTTCCAGAATCAGCATATCCCGACGTTCAACTCCAGGAAATTCCCCTTACATCACATGGAACCCTTTCTGAAGGCACCAGAGATAGATGAGGACTACAAGATCATCAACGACTCCCGCTATAGAACTTACAAGATAGAAGACAAGAAGCTAGCGCAACTGATACAACTACTAGAGGTACCTTCTTCGGACTAGCCAGGTCTAGGGCTATCAACGAAGCACTCATCTCGAAGTTCAAGAACTCCAACGCCGAAGACGACCGGATGATATATTCTGCGCTACTGACTCAGAAAAAGGACCACCCGTTTATGTCGGAGCTTCTAGCATCCACATCAACGGGCCTGACTCTCCTGAGGATACAAGGATTATTGTCATCGTGCACCTGGAGTGAGCGGTTCACCAAGTCCTTATACAGAGCCCCATGGTCAGCATCATCCATCTTAGGAGGAGGAATTGAAGAAGTCGCCAAAGAGGTCACACACGAATCAAGGGAGGTCATGATGATAAAGTCCATAGATACCTTGGCAAATGCGATTCGCCCGACGTCCCGGTGCTACTCCAACAAATCTTGAGAAAAGAAGTATTCCAGCTCAAGAGGAGGAAGAGGTTCTTTGCGTTGCCCAACCAGAGCCCCCAGAAGAAACCCCGGAAGAGGCCGCGCACCCAGGGGTGCCAGGGGAACCAAGCGCTGAAGGACAGGTTTGGAACGACTGGAGTCTTCCACCCCCAGCCGTTCCTGTACAACCTTCGACAGTGGGTGGACGTCTTCAAAGATACTGGGAGAATTGGGGAATACTACAGGACGACTATGTATCCCAGATACTACACAGAGGGTACAAGATACAGTTGGAAGCCACCCTGCCGCTTACAAGCAACCCGCTGGCCTTCAACTACGCAGGCGACCAGACAGAGAAACTGGACAACGCAATCAAGACTCTACTCGACAAAGATGCAGTAGAAGAGATAAATCAAGATCTCATCACGCCCGGTTTTTACTCCCCAATTTTCCTGGTACCGAAGAAGAATTCCAAGGAGAAGTTTCGGCTCATCTACAACATGAGGAAGTTCAACCAGGAGTATCTCCGCAGACCAGCAAAATTCAAGATGATACATCTTCCTCAGCTCCGACATCTCGTTCGTCCATCAGACTACCTCGCCAGCATAGATCTACAAGATGCGTACCTACACATCCCGATACATCCAGACTCAAGGCAATACCTAAGATTCCTTTTCAACGGACATCACTTCCAGTGGAAGGTTCTACCGTTTGGAATATCGTTGGCCCCCTGGTTGTTTACTTGAGTGACCAAGCCCATCGTCACATATCTACATCGTCGAGGTCTGCGCAGTGCTTTTTACCTGGACGACGTAATTCAAGTTCATCAAGATCCCAGTCAACTCAGACTGCAACTAGACTTCACCATCAGGCTTCTCATTCAGTTAGGATGGCTGGTAAATCTCCTCAAGTCGGAACTGGAGCCGAAACAGGATCTTCAATTTCTAGGGATACGACTCATCATGCCGGTGAATCGCATAGTCGTCCCAGAGGATCGTTGGGTCAACATACAACATATGATATCTCAAGCAATGCTCTCTCCGTTGACACTACGTGCTTGGCAAAGCATGCTCGGTCTACTCACCTCAGCTCAAGACATGACTCGCAGAGGGAGATTACAACTGCGCCCACTACAAATATTTGTGAACGCCCATCTCGACAGTCTGGATCCGCTGACACTACCAGACAGCCTGAAAGCATACCTCTTATGGTGGATTTGGAAGTCGAATGTTTGCGGAGGAACTTTTATGTCAGAGCCGGTTTGCAACACTAATCTCTACATGGATGCATCGCTACAAGGATGGGGTGCCCACCTCGACAACGAAGTGGCAGCAGGGAAGTGGTCGAGTCAGGATCAGAGTCTGCACATCAACCTGTTGGAGATGAAAGCAGTGATCAACGCTTTACAACACTGGTCCAGCGTCCTAAAGAACGCAAGACTCACGGTCCACACGGACAACTCCACAGTAGCGTTCTACATCAACAAACAAGGATCAACAAGATCAACAAGTTTGCTACAACTCAGCTTTCTCCTGTTCAGCATCGTCGATGACCTGAACATCTACATGAAGGCATGCCACATTCCAGGAGCAAAGAATGTCATAGCAGACGCCCTATCTCGTCCACTACAACCATCCCCGACGGAATTGATGTTACATCCAGAAGCATTCCGGTTTATCATACAGGCAATAGGATCTCCACTGATAGACCTGTTTGCAACAAAGTACAACAAGCAACTACCAACATTCGTCTCACCGATTCCGGATCCTCAGGCATGGGCAACAGACCCTTTAGCATCTCATGGGAAGGACTAAACGCTTATGCGTTTCCACCTCCAGCACTACTACCACAAGTATTACAGAAAATCAAGCAGACAACAACGCTGCAACTGATTTTGGTCGCGCTCTATTGGCCAGCGAGGGTATGGTTTCCCGTCCTCATACAAGAACTCGGAAGTCCAACCCTGAAACTACCAGAGTGGTTGAACCTGCTCTTCCATCCACACGCCAAGCAAGCTCACGGGAATCCGGCATTGTTCCAGCTACACGCGTGGAGCGTATCAAAGCTTGCCTGAAGACTAGAGGGTACTCCGCCAGAGCAGCGAAAGCAGTGACACTAGCTCTATGCAGATCAACTTGCAACTTGTATGACGACAAGTGGTAGAGATTTGAACAGTATGCAACGAGGAAAGGCTTTACAGCGGTAAAAGCAACCCATCCTCAAGTGGCGAAATACTTGTGTCATTTGCGACAGACGAGAAAATGTTCAACACTCTCAACGTACCTGGCTGCTCTCAGCACAGTTATCACCATGAAGACGGGTGTCAAGCTGACTAAAGTAACAGAGATACTGGCACTACTACTACTGCTCGTTCAAGTTGGAAGACCAACAAAAGAAATTCAAGGCTCCTGCCTGGGATCTCAACGTAGTTCTACAACATCTCACCAGTGACATCCTTTGAACTACTGACACAGAAAACGCTGTTTCTGATCGCCCTAGCAACAGCAGCACGGATGTCAGAAATACATGCTCTGGACTTTGAACGAACACGATTTGAATCAAGACATCGTGACATCGTACATCTAGGACTGAGATGGGACTTTATTGCCAAGAACCAACTGCCCGGCCAGCCTGACAGACAGTTCCACATCCCAGCTCCTTCTACAGTCCTTGGGCAAAAGGATACACAGGATCTATCCTTATGCCCTGTCAGAGCACTAAAAGTCTACCTACAAAGGACAAAAAACAAGGAGACGAAAATTCAAGCACCTATTCATCCCCTTATCCACGGAAGTCTCATGGACAACGATATCGATATGGATGAGAGACGTTATACTAAGGACCTACAAAGCAGCAGGACTTGAGCCTCCAATCCCCACGAAGTCAGAGCCCTGGCATCTACACTTGCTCTGCATGGAAACTGCTCGATTAGAACAATGATGGAGGGCTGCTTTTGGAAATCGGACACGGTGTTTGCCAACCACTACCTCAGAGACATTGCCACCGAAGACGTCTCAGGCATTCACCAATTTGGGCCACTTGTAGCACAACAACTAACGGCTCCACAAAGGCGCTGAGAAAAATCTCACCCTTTTTATCACGTGACTTGTGAAAACCAACGCTCTGGGGAGCAAATGGTTAAAGTCCATGCACACGTCTAGGACAGACTAGCATGAGTGATAGACCCTGTACTTGTATAGGGCATACTCTTACATGAAGAAGGGTCGCATCTCCACTTGATGGAGATGGAGTTGCAATAGATAACTAATGGAACATTAGTATTTCTAAAATCCACACGAAAATGTCAGAAGTTTCGGAAGAAATCTGACAAGTTGTGGTTCCCCCCAGACTCATCAGAGGAAGTTGAAAGAACAGAATCATCAGCAGTGCCGTCATAAGTTCCCATGGGGGGTAACACAGGATGTAAATCAACAGCCAGTGAATCCAGAAGTGGCCTGACCCACCACCGATTCCGACGGATTCTGCAAGCATTTAACACGAGTCAGGATAAGGAAAGATATGTAATTTTCTGATTAAAATTGATATTTTATACTTATCCTGACTCATGAGGTCAGCCCTCCCAACCTCCCTGTAAATCCGGGTGTCGGGCATTCATACGGAGAGAGTGACAAAACATGGCTGGTCATGTGACGAAAAGGGTGCCAAAGGGGTAAGGGAGGCCACTCGTGGGTGAGTGATGATTTTACGTCCGTCTTTTTAGAAGGGAACTTCAAGGGATTTCAAGTGTTCCATTATCATTCGCAAGAAGAAGGAGACAAGCATTTAGCATGAGTCAGGATAAGTATAAAATATCAATTTTAGTCAGAAAATTACCTTATCATTTTAAGTAATTCTAAGATATAATAAACTCATGATACTTTGTTTGTGTCAAGGTCTCAAAGTTCACATGGTCAGAGGACGCCCTGCTCTGAGCGGAAGGAAAAGAGGAAGTCTTTCCTCCCAACCCCCTCTAAGTCCTCCACCAGTTCTGTGCCAGCTAGGTTTGTGTGACAGCCATTCTGTTCCGCTCACTAAGCTTGAAACATCTCTGTGCTCACCACCCTGTTGACAGTTATTTAAGCTTGTATTCCAGTTTCCTTTCTTGCTTGGCTGGTAATAAATACATACATAAATAAATGAATACACTATCTCTTTCTCTCCCTCCCTCTAACAGACTCGGCATAGTATTTGAGTTACGCCCATGCATGCATATCATTACATGAAATCTTTTCATTTAATAATCATTATGTGAATTTGAACATAATGTTTAACCAATTGTTATGTCTTTTGTGTGAAACTAGTTTTACTTCATTTACAACTTACTTTTGCATAACAATTTCATTTGTGCAGGCTCCCTTTGTTATTGTTATGTTGCTTTTGTTTCAGTCCTTATTCTATGCGGAGTAGTGTTAGCAGTAATAGCTCAGTGAATTCCCACAAATCTCTGTCCCTGACGAGCGAGTCTCCTGTATTTCTGATGGATAGGCCTGGTTCTGCCACTCGGAGACGTATTCCATCAGGAAATGTAGGTTTTTTTGTAGCTGTTGAAGTTATTGTTCCATGTTTTTTGGTATAAAGTATGTGTTTTGAATGCACAAAGTTTCCTGCAAAGAGGTACGAAAGAACTAGTTCACTAGATCTAGCTCAGATACAATAACAGTTAGGCCTCTTCCTCTTTTGGTTTGGAAAGCCCCTTAATATGTAAACATATATTGTTTTGACGATATGTAACAAGAAATGCATAATATGTCCACACTTGAAATATATGCAGAGCACCTGTACATTTAAATTGCACTCAAAGATCAACTGTTATATATTCAAAGGTAAGTATTTAGGAGATAAACATCATGTGTTGGCCAATTTCCGGGTGTTATTGAGTATTTGAATTACGGGAATATTTCATTTGAAACCTCCGGCATTCCCGTACTTCAAATACTCAATAACACCCGGAAATTGGCCAACACATGATGTTTATCGACATTGTAAACACAAAAGTAAACCAAAAGGTCCACACACATTTTTGTGTCTGCACTCATTGACATTGAGTATGGGTACAGCAGTGAAATGTCATCAGCTGGTCGTTTCAGCTGTCTCCAATGGTAGCATCCGGAACTGCTCATTTGTGACGTCATTCAGACTTTGCGTCACAATATGATTTGAATGACGTCATCACAGCAGATGACATAACAGTACAATGGTGTGAGCGATGTTTCTACGTATTAATACTCAGTGAATTTCCGGGAATCGAATACCATTCGATGACATTTTTCAACCAATCAGATTAAAGAACACAGTAACTTTTGGTTTACAATGTGGCTTAACACTGCAGATATCAAGGTTTTACTCTGTTCATGTGAAATATCAATTTTCATAACCAACTCATTGTGAATGGAACTACAATTGCCAAAAGGATTGTGCAGAGACCTAACAAACCAACTTAATTTGAAACATTTACTCGTGCCCAAAAGGGATAAAACCGCAAAAGTCTTTTTTACAAACTGACTCATCCTCTGTATTCCCAGGGATTGTGTTTTAGAAAACAGCACACTAACCACTGGATTCATTCTTGTGATTTCAGATCACCTGCTTTTAATTTTCATGAACATTTTACAGACTAATCAAGAAAAGAAAGGATATGGCTAGTGCAAAATTGTTGTTTAACTTCTTATACAGATCTGTAGACTAACAACTAGTCTCTGAAATGAATATATTTTACTGAAAAAGTTCATAGTAAAAAATTAAAAAATATAATGAAAAGGAGCCCTGAGACTTTCTTCATTTTCAGAGACTAGACAAATCTGCAGAGGGATAATTTCTTGGAATTTCACAACACATGCAAAGATTCTTTTCACCCATTACTGGTTTAATTGTGTGTGACAGGAATATTTACTGCCCCCACCGCCTCCGGTCCTACTGCCAGTGGTGTGGGCCGATTTGGGGTAATGAGTATCAAGGGTCGCCAAATCTATTTTGAGAGCAAGCTGGGATACCAGCTCAGGGTAGCATCTCTTGATATTCCTATGGCTGGACAACTGGATCTCCCTAAAAAATAATCCAAAGCTATTTATATTCTCCAAAATCCAAAGGTTGTGTTTGCACTATATGTGGAAGTTTAATTAATGTCGCATTTCTATAATGTAACAAGCAGAAAAAGTCATCAATATCCCCTGCAATGGCAAAATACTCTTCATGTATATGTCAGTTAGTTATGACTATGTCAAATGTTTTGGTGTGTATTAAGCAGTCAGTGAGTGAGTTTTAATTTTATGAGTGAGTTTTAATTTTATGCCACACTCAGCAATCTTCCAGCTGTCTGTAAATAATAGAATTTGGACCAGATAATCCAGTGATCAACAGTATGAGCATCAATCTACACAAATGGGATGCACTGATATGTGTCAACCAACTCTGTGACTATATTACAAAGTGGAAGGAGAGTATTGACAGGTTTTTAAGTTCTACTCCTGAAGCTGAGGAAATCTAGACTTGCCACATTTTCTAGACTTGTGTGGGCTTTCTTGGATATATTTGCTTCAGGGTCTGTACGAGAGACTAACAGATCTGTAGACTGTAAGTTTTGTTGAAATGTAAACATAAAAATTGTGAAGTTTGGAAACTTATTTCATCTAACAGATTGCATTTATATGCCTTCCATGGTGAGTGGAAAATATTTTCAGAACATGTATCCTTAATGTTCCCGGCTTTGTTACACCTCACCCAAACACAACCCATTCATAATGGACACATCCCCAAGCATTCAGCATGCTCTTGGTAAGCCCCAAGCTATCCCCAATCTAGTCAATCGCTTTCTTATTGTGACTTAGTGAGGACATATTTATATACACATGGAAAAAAGTCTGTTTCCATTGTAGCAATATGTTCCCTTTTAATGATAGCAAAGGAACTTATCTAAACCTCAATTTAATATACTATCTGGCTAAACTGACACTCAAGGAATAATTGAATGGCAAATTTAAACTCAGAAAGAATGAAAGTTTGCTCTGCAGATAAATTTATTCAGAGAAGCAAACATGGTAAAATTTGACTCATTTTGAAGTGCTGTCACATGACATTAACAAGTGAAGTCATTTGCAAAAATTCTGGCATACAATCCTCAGGAATAACATAAGTTTCAATAACTGAGCACGTCAACATCTGCCAACTGCAATATCATCCTCATTGACTGCATCAGACTTTGAATTTGACATTGAGGTGTTGGGCACCAGTGTTGATGGAGGGTTTGGTACAAGCAAGAGGTACATCAAGATTTTGTTTTGGAAGATCTCTCTGGCATATTCTGTCCAAACATCCTCTTTTGGGATTGAGATCTGGACTCTTGGCAGGCCAAGGTAGATTTGTTACCAAATCTTGGCATAAGAAATCCCCAACAGCATATACAGGATGTGGGCTAGCATTGACATCCATAGTGTTCCCCCTAGGATTCAGAAAGGGCAGGGTAAATTAAACAAAAAGGGCACTTCATATTCTAAAAGGGCACTTTGGTGAGGATTATTGAAAAAATAACAATAACAAAATGTATATGAAGTTAAATGCTCTTATAATTTTATTTCTAAAGTTCATTTATTACTCTTCTCATTTTGTATTTTAAGATCAAAATTTGGAAAAAAAAGCATTTCCAGACATTAACCTGTTGTCACATTTGTTTACAATTTCACAAAACACGCAAACAACAATTTACAGTCTTCTTTTCTTTCTTGCCAAGCATCTGTTAACAACTTTTTTCAAGTCAATGTCTGAAACTGACGATGCATTCAGGCTAATCATGAGAAGTCCGTTGCAATTTTGAACACTGAGTCTGTTTCTATAATCTGTCACAATCAGTTTCACTTTTGAGAACACTCTCTCAACTTCAGAAGTGGACAATCACAGTTGCATGAATGGACAGTAATTGAACAATGTTTGGATTCAAGTTTCCAAGTTGAGGCTTGAGTCTTCAAAATGGTGGAGGGTGAACTGGTGTCAAGCTCCTTTACTTGACTCCACTCAATCTGTGTTTGGTCGACATTAAGTCCATTTCTGCCCTTGGTGTTCCACTTAGAACATAATGAACAAAACATCATTCCCTTCTTTTTGTCATCTTCTGAGTACCTCGACCAGGGACGGTTTTGTTGCCACTTTGTGTCAAATGCAGTCTTGTGACCACCATCTTTCTTCTGTGTTGGAATAACTGACTCTGTCTCGTGTGCCCTTGAATTTTCATAGGAAACTACCTCTGACTCGTCCGGTCTGAAAAAAAAAAAAATTACAAAGTTCATATACCATATTCAAAATATTCTTAGATATTAAATTTGCAATCATAATTATTAAAACAAAAATATCACACAATAATACACCTGAACGTAAGTATCTACTGTGGAGAGCCTCGACAAGGGTGTGGCTTCCCATTGTTTGAAATCGTAAAATAGTTTTACGCCTTCAAGACTTACATTTTTATGAAATCGACAGTAAACACTAAAAACAAGGCTACCAAGTGAAGCTGTTATGCAAGCTGTATTAACTATTTCATTTCCCAGGACAAACAACAAAATAATTCAAGATCAATTTCAAATTGCCGATGGATTCAAAATGGCGGATATTTTCGAGTTTCAGATTTCACCTAAACAGCACAGTCACATGAATATCGGTCCCCCAAACGTACCAAAATACATTCCATGTAGTTCACACATCGTTGTCTTTAATAAATGAAGGTCTTATTTGAAAGGCATGTGAAATTGAAAGGGAAATCAACGGCCTAAAAATCACGAACTTAGAGGCACATACCTGTTAGGAGCGAAGAAATCTATTAGTCGGCGACACTTCCTTGCTTCAACCTTCACCGCTTCTTCTCTTTTCCATTTGATTCTTTCCTTGGTAGGCATTGTGATTTGTAAAGCGAACTAAACACATTTGACTTCGCCATGGTTTAAATGCCAATTTCCTAATCATTATCAAAACAATTTGGCGTCTCCCCTTGAAAGGGAGAGAACTCCGTCCTTAATAAAATCCGGAAAATACACACGGGTTGTTGTAAAATCAAGCACAGCTGGAAAAAAAACTGGGATTGAGGCGAAAAGGGCAGGGCGCAAAACAAAAAGGGCAGGGCGCAAAAATCAAAGGGCAGGGCGCAGCGCCCTCCTAAATGTGCCTAGGGGGAACACTAAGGACCAGACAATCCTGTGATCAACAGCATGAGCATGGGAACAGATGCCATGTGTCAACCATGTCAGCGAGCCTGATCACCCGATCCCGTTAGTCACCTCTTACGACAAGCATGGGTTATTGAAGGCACATTTTAACCCAGACCTTCACAGGTATGGTTACAAATGAGCAATAAAATCATTAGAGCCCCACCCCTCTAACCCCAAGTATTTACCCCCGTCTTTTTACTACCCAAACTTTCTCAAAGACAGTGGTGTATACACCAGTGCAGTTGACAAATCTCTGAGTTACCATGGTTACAAATGAGGAATAAAATCATTCCTAACACACACACACACACACCACACACACCACACACACACCAAGCATCTACTCCCCTGTCTTGTTACTACCCAGACTAACATGATCTTCAAAATGAAGGGCTCCAACATGCATTTCTCCATTTCCCTCCTATGAATGCTCAAGGAAATCTTGGACCTCTTGGACATTCTCCTTGTCTCTATCCACAGGCTCCACGTCCATTTTCCCAAGTCTACACGACCAGTGCAGAGTTCTGCTCAGCTCATATTATGAAACCCTTCACACAGTTTCTACATAGAATGGGTTTTGTCTTTGAAGCTTTCATTGACGATTGATCAAGATCTAGTGTAGTTTGCAGGCTTCAGTGATGGTTGAAATGATTTTCTGCCTTACACTAATGGCAGTAAGACCTTGTTTGATGTATATAAAAAAGTCTGCTCCCAATATTACATCTTTTCATATGTTTTGTATTGCAGACTCGTCAATCCTTAGTGCAGCACACACCTGATATTCCAAAGCAACAAGTGTCTCGCTGGTCACCGGTGAGACGGACACGTTTGCTTTCCAAGGAGGACCAAGCCATACAGTGTACTAAACGCTTTCATCAGACGGCGCAGAAGTGACACTGAAGGCAATGCAAATTGCACTTGGAAATTTTTTACACGAAACATCTATGTATTCAGTACAGGTCTTTTATCCTTGTGTTTTTTTCACATAGTGACAAGTATGTTTGCAAATCCCTATTGCAAAATTTCCCTTTGTCAGATAAGTTTTATACTGAATTAACAAAAGCAAAACATAAAGCTAAATAGTATATCTTATGTGTTAATGGTGCACACTCTGTCGGACATGTGATAACAACAGAGTGCAGACAGTACCAAATGATATTGTTTTTACTATTAATCAGATTCTTTGTATGAAACTCCTCTGATTATGTATGACTGTATTGAAAATTGTACATATTGTAATCAAGACAATGTAGTGCTTTTATCACATTAACTTTCTAGTGATACCAGTCCTGTATTTAAATACTATTTTTCAAAGTCTAGGCTGTGATTGAACAAAACACATGAATTATATGATGTAAAATAAGAGTGCTATCCTATGATATGAAATAACAGTCACATAGCAGTATTTAGATACTGTTTAAATAGGTTTGATTGTGTGACAAAAGTCAGAAAATGTCATCAATTGAACATCCCATATTGTTGGACAGAATGAAATGTTAATAATGTCATCAATCTTTCAGTCTTTAAATAAACCCTTTGTGTTACTACTTTCTTACATGTAAACAAATTTGACAAAAACAACTTTGATGTTGTTTTGTTCACACAATTATATATTATATTACTTTCAAAGGGTTAGTATCTTACACTGAACTAAAATATGCACAATTTCATTCATAATATAATATAATAATACATGTTTTAAATTATTGGACATTTGTTCAAGTGCAGCTATTACTAAGCTTTGTAAATTTGAACCAAATGACTTCAACCGTTTGCTATCTATTATCTAGTAGTTATGTATCATAATAAAACAACTTGAGTGTCCTTTATATAAATAAAACTGATTATCCAAGGCAATATATTTTAACTTATTTTTTTTTATAAGAGACCAGAAGAAATGCTTAACTGGGGAATGTTAAATGGGCTGATGCAGTGTTCGAAATAACCACTAGCCCGGTAGCCCGATGCTAGGTAAAACTTTCCCGGGCTAGTAAAAATAGAATGACGGTAGCCCGGTTTGCTAGTGTAAATTTTCAGTCTGTGAAAATTTCTCTTCATGGCCTTTTTTCATTCAAAATTTCCTAATTCTTTTAGTATTTTTTGTTTTGTTTTCAAGCCGACAATTCTGAGCTTAGTGAAACTACACACAAAGCTGAAATCCTACCCGTTTCTAAGACGCGTCTTGATTGGTCAGCGTTAAGAAATAAGCACAAATCAAAATAGCCGATGCATCCGTCATCATTCGCAAATGGTGCCATGTAAACAAACATGCCGAAACGGCAAGCAGATATTAAGGCCATATGATTGTACAGAGGCCGTGTACCACTGGCTGGAAATGAAAGACAGGAGGTATAGTAAGCTTGTGTCACCAACAACTGAACTTGCTGAACATGATTCTACTCCTCTTGAGCATGTTGAAGAGGCTGAACAGAGGGACCTGGAGTTGCACAAACATGATGACAATTGTGACAGTTGTTTTGATTCAGACTCAGGATGGTCTGATAATGAATGTGATGATGATCTCATTAACCTAAACTGACAGAGTGCTTAAAGGGCCACTGATCCAGAGCGATTAATGGTTCTCGCCAACAGTCTAATTACGAAACCTAGCTGCAAACTGGTCAGCCCCTGCCCCCTCGACCGTGACGGACACGGGGACTGGGCTACTGACCACCTTGGCAGAATTTCTTCAACCTAGTCAGTGGGACATTAGGAAGGGTGGATGCCCATCAGATGCCGTTATTTGAAAATATCCCTGGTAGTTCTTGTCTGCTTGTAATAAAGTATCCCAGCAGTGTAGGCTTTTTTCAGATTTTCAAATGTTTGAATGGTATAGTGACTGATCCAATTTGATCCTATTTCTGTGTTTTTTACCTCAATATTTAATCATGTAAAAATCTGATGTCTGTTACGTATGCTATGATATCAAAAACACATTTGATATATTTGAATCCATAAACTAAACAACCCCACTTTGCCATTGCAAAATGAATCTAAAATTTTACTTAGGTACATATACAGTTTTTAACTAAGTACACAGCAAATGCTTATATATATTTCTTATGTAACAATGAAGTGCTGTTCGTATCCTCAAAACAGTGTCGGGCCATAAGTTTTTTTCAGGCAATCATACTTGCATGCAATACAGCGATTACTACTCTCTTGCAGTAACCCTTGTTTGGTGGTAAACCTACACATGTTATTTTTCATCATTCACTTGATGGTCAGTTAATGAATTTCTAAAAGGTATAATTAGTGATAACACCACTCAGATTACCCGACAAAGGTTCCCATTTGGCATTTCTTGTGTCTGGAGTAAATACTCATCATTATAAATTGAAGTCTGATGTAGCAAATGTATTACATCTTATGTAATATGCGCATGGAAGTGCAGTAAGAGTGAGTCTAGTTTTACGCCGCTTTTAACCCTATTCCAGCTATATCACAACGGGGGACACCAGAAATGGGCTTCACACATTGTACCCATGTGGGGAATCGAACCCGGGTTACAGTAAGGGGAAATGTCAGCTGAGTTACAAAACAAACATCGATCAAAGGATTAACCAATAACACGCTGATTGATTAATTGCTTTTATCCTGCACAGCGGATTTATCAAAAGGTAGTGTTTGTGTATGTTGATTAACTAATCTATACTGAATACACCCTGTCGTAAAGTGCCTGTGTAAAAACAACGTCCTTCCTTCAAAGGATTAACCGCCAATACATTGATTGATTGCTCATTATTGGCTAACTAAATTACTTCTTTAAAGAATGGCGGACGTCATGCAATTAGTTGCCAGGTGTGCTATCTTGGGTGACCAATGGGACTATACACCAATGTGAAAAACCTGAAACGATAGATCACATTTTTTTCGCTTATCAGACACTTGACATGGAACAGGATACTTTGTCAGCTGCAGATGAATGGCATCTCATTCCTTTATGTGGATATTGATGGATACATTCCCCGAACAAGGTAATAGCCTGATATTGTTGCTATAACTTTAACTATAAACCATATGGGAGCAATATGAGTGTCAAATTTCTACTTCCAATATAACTTCCTATAAAACTTTAGATCAGTACATCCAGATGAAGCTGACTAGTCACATTCTACGGATGCATTTTGGGACTGAGGGCATAGGCTAAGCTAGCAAACATTGCCTGAGTCAAGCTAAGGCATTAACATAATATACTGAACCACAAAAGAAATGTTGCACTGATAGGGGTTTCTTAAAGCACACACTTTAATCACTCTAACAATCAAATAGGAGGACTGAGTTCAAACTTGACAATTATGGTTAACACTTTTTTCGGGAATCACATTGAGAGTTAACACAAACAAATCACCAAAAATGGTACCATTAAGATACCCCAAAGTCAGTATCGTGTGTCGCCCACTATGGGGATGAAATCGTTGCATTGTCTGTATGAATGAATTAGCCCGGTCGATGAAGGCCATAGGCACTTGGGTCCATACTCTGTGAAATACCTGATTGAGTCCAGCAGCAGTTGTCGGCCTTGGTTGGAGGCCATTCAGTCTTCTTTGAATCTCGTCCCAAAGGTGTTCTACTGGACTTAAATTCGGACTGGGTGCAGGCTACTGTAGGGTTTGGATGCCATGTTGTCTCAGGAAGTCCAATGTTGCTCTGGCAGTGTGGGCACGACCATTGTCTTGCTGGAAGATATGATTTCTGTATCGTCCAAAATGTGGTACAACGTGGGGTATTACGATTTAATCAAAATAGCGAGCAGCTGTCATGTCATTTCCTCATCCTGGACCAAGATTCTGGAACACCACGGTGTCAACTAACTGTTAAGACCGATTGCACCCCACACTATGATGCTTGGACCACCCCACGAGATTCTTTTAACAATACTCTCATTGGAAAACATTTCACCACGCCCTCGCAATACTCTCACTCTGCCATCGACTGTCGAAACACAAAATCGGCTTTCATGAGATAACAGCACAGTTCTCCATTGTCGATAACCTCAATTTCGGTGCTGAGTTTCCAATTTGGTCGCTTTTGGTGGTGATGAGCGTTGAGGACAGGACTACGATATGATCTGTGACAGCAGAGGTTTCTTCCGCGTCGACGGACTGTATCAGCACTGATGGGTCTGTTTTGAGTCAGAAATGGTCTGGCCTTCTGTTTCTGTCGCTCTGGGGAAGCGATCCTGCAGATGGTTGCGCACAGCCTGTCATTCTTGACATTGTGATGTTACTGAAGGTTGCCCACTGCGTTGACAGTCTTGAATGCTCTTAGTGACCTGATACCACTCCTGCTGTCCTAACATGAACATTAAAATGATTGGCTACCCTCCGTGCAGTCTGGACAACTAGCAATCGTCCCACGACTTGGTTCCTCTGATCTCTCGTAAGACGTGGCATGGTGGTTGTCTCAAAACAAGACTGATTTCAGGAGAGCTTGGGACCCGCTTTCATTGGTGGGGTTGTCATAACATGAACGTGCATTTTAATTTTCACGAATGTCATACGGAACCTTTTACCATGTCTGCCTTTTTCGGTGCGTTTGGTCGATATGCGTTATCAGAAAACATGTGATTGGTAATAACTGTCAATTTGGATTGAAAAACATGTTAAGAAAACAGTACAAACATAATAAAAACACCACCTTGCAAGAACAAAATTTTGCATTAGATATTGCAAAGCGATGTTTCTTTTGTGGTTCAGTATATTTTCCCCAGTGATGTGGACTGACTGAAGTAGCTGTAAACCTTGAAACTGGGTGCTAACCTAGTTAGTTGCACTGTAGAAGACTACAATGCAATGACAACTGACGTGAATCATAACATTGGTTACCAAGGGTGCGTTTGATTATGAGGTGGCAGACTTGAATGGCGTACTGACGTCAATACAGTGTGATGTATTGCAAAAAGTGTACTTTTTCACCTGATAAGTTCTGTCGGTGCCTTTGAGCTTTTAGCTAAGAATCCTAGAATATGACAAAAAAGCGTCACTGCTGGACCAGCATGGTGGAGGAAGAGCAACAGTGCACTGTCACCTCAGGCTGGTTTGCCTTCTTGCAACAGCCATTAACATGTTTCATCAGACTTCTTGTTAGGAACTGTTGAATGATAACTGATGTGCCATCTTAATTTACAGGAATTATAGAACAGTTACCAAGGATAAGTTAGGTCATGGGAGGTAATTTAAAAAGTGATGTAGGAGGATCTGGTCACTCCCCAGGACATGTATAAGAAAGTGTTGCCTTGTACAGGAGCGAAATATATTATATCCCAAAACTATTTGCCAACTCATTAGGTTCACATTTCATTGTCTGATATTGTATGAAGCCAGTAATCACTATGATTTTATGTAGATGTGTTTCATGGCCAAACTTCCATGGAACAAGTTTCTTTCTCTGAACTGAACTGGTTGTTTTGCCTAAATATTATATATACTGAAAGCCATTAAAAATGCAATTTGACATTCATACTTTCTTTACTCACACTAATGTCAACAGATATAAACCTAACTGGCAGATATGTTTTAAGTGAACATCTGTGAATAATTTCATCTGAAAATGTCCAGGCAACAACAACATCAGTGACGCAACAACGACATCACACAAAGGAGGGGTCACTTGCAGTCAATATCGTGAGTGTCCACTGTGCGCTGCAAGACATGCTTGCAGTCTTTGGGGCATTGAAAGACACACATTTCTCAGGAACAGCTGTTGGATGGTCTGCAGCCTCTGATGGTCTGTGGTCTGATCATGACACCATCCCCTCCAAAACGATAATGTTCAAGGACACAGTTTGGCGCAAGTCTTTCTCCTTTATGTCGACAAATCTGTTGACGTCCATCTGCAAAGGATAAGTTAAACCT